TTTATGTCGCTTTCTCCCCTTACTCATCATGTTAATTTCAGGTTCTCAATTAGGTTCGAATTGTAATCAATTTTGTTCTCAATATTAATGAACCCATCTCGGCCAGGATTGATGAAACAAAATTGAAACCCATGCCAGGAGCTTTCCCGTGGCTGACGGTAGAACGGGTTAATTGGGAAACTGTGATGCTCATGGGCCCATTTGGGCAGGTAGACTGCCGATCTATCCATGATACTACAGTACTACTAAACTGTGGTCTCCATTCCTCGCGCGCATCATCCCCACTAAGCTAGCTATCTCGTCCTGTACCCTGTGGTCTTACTTGGCCTGTCCTACACACGAGTTCGTGCTTTTTAGTCTACAGCAGCTGGTGGGAATGGAACATTAGCCGGTAACCGAGCTGGAGAGCTTGAAGTCCGACAAGACGATGGTAGGGTAAAGCAGTTACTTATTCCGGTGACAGAGACAGACGACGGAGACAGACGACAGAGACAGACAACAGAGGGAGCCGTACACTACTAGGTAGATGCAGCTTAGTAGTTTGGGCCTTCTCTTCGACAACTTGACAAGCAAACATCATCCCTTAACTAACGAGGATTGATTGTTGGGCTAAGCACCCATTTTGCCAAGACCTCTTACAAGACATCTTTTAGTGTTGATTTGTGGAATACGGATCGCCCCGACGACAAACTTTCCTGCAGCTCATATCCTTCTACGCCATAGCTTGTATGCAGTATTTACCTGCACTCCGTAGTATGGATAATTCACCTCATGATCGACCGGAAGATTCTATCCACAGGCTACTGCATCCTCAAGAAATCAAACTACAAAGTACTTGAAAAATCGAAATAAAAATGCAGGGAAGAAAAGCTGAGTTAAACCTTCCCGGTGAGTAAGCATGCACCAAAAGTACAACCTCATGGGACTATTGTTGAGCTTTCCCCGGTGGAGGAAAACGCGCCAATAACGGACGCGGCTTGGCCAGTATGCTTGTCACACAAGAACGCTTAAGGTAAGAGTAGGTAGTCTGGAACTGAGCTGGCCCAGTTTCAAAGATGTCCATTAGCGAATCATCAAAGCCAAACACGTCCAGAGTACACGAACTTATCCACTAAGCCTACTTAGCAGAGTGCTCACTACTCTCAAGTCTCAACTCGGACTCTCAACAAATAATAACAATCTTATGGCAGTTTTGATCACCTCGGTCTGTGGATGTTCTGCCGTCTTCCCGCCCGTCGTTTCCCTCTTGGGTAATTCATAAGCGGCTGAAGTCTGACGGGCCGAGCTTGGACATGTCAATGATATTATCAGTGACGAATAACTTGATTAGCTTGAGCCCATTGCTTCAGATCTCACGGGGTGGACTTGCTTGTCTTACAACAACTCCTACTACAACCTCTCATGTACGTATTCTGTATGTGTCATTAATAATAGATGGCGACTGGCATCCCTTTTTCCACGGCTTCATAGCAGGCTGAACAAGCGTAGAAGATCCGGCTCACCGTCATCAAAGTACAGAGCAAGAGCAGTTGATTCTGCCGTTATTGACAAGATCATCAAAGGCTTAATCAAAGTACCCGTTTCAAAGCTATCTATGGAGCACAACCGTCGCCAGTCATCCCCCAAGAGGAAATGACGGGTCCATCACTATTGTCATTCCCTCGGCCATGGCCGATCGGACTGTTTAACCGGCAAGTGTCACTGTTAGTCTGTCAGCTCGGTGATTGATTAACTAACTAGCATGGTATCTACCTATACTCAAGATATTAATCAAGCCCAGACTGTTCCAACCCTAATAATTTACTAGCCGAACCCTGGTAAACAGACTGCGAATTAATCTCCCAATATTAACAACATATGAATGTGGATAGAACTAAATACTACGCACTGGCAGGGTTCGCGAGGCCAGCAAATTAACTCCTGGAAGCTGCAAGTCTGCGACAAACCCCTGCATCTTGCATACGCCGACACCTACGGAAAAATGGAGTCGATGGGCCTCGCCTACGCAGTTAGCGGGTCAACCACCACAGCACGGAGCCACGGAGACAGGGAGTACGAGGTTACCTTTGCTTTTTTTTTTTTTTTCGTTTTTTCTTCTGTCTCAGATTCAGCCGCCTCCAAAGGTATTTCTCGATTTCTCGACAAGCTTCCTCAAAATTTCTGGATCTCAGTCGACAGGATTAAGAATTATTTAGACAAGGGGAAGACTACTCCGTAATGTAAGCTATCGTCTCTTTGGGCACGGAGTACTGGGGAGTACGAAATTGGGGTCAGATTATTTCCTTATTTACTGGCAGTCGTGCCACGTTGACTCACACCAGACGCCAGTCATACAGGTGTGAGTTTGTGGCTGCAAAATTAGACTAATCGCTATTTTGATTAAGGCTGCGTGCTTAGGCGGGTGGTTGTTTGTGGTGGAAATTGGGAGTGAGTTGGTGCGCTGTTAAGATTTCTGTGGTCTGCTAAGCTTAGCGGCGTGCTTGGATAATTTATCGCGATTTTTATTGTGGTCTCACTGGTTTGGGCTAGCTATATCAAATGTTGGTGAGGTTTACTCCGTATTGTTGTGCTGCTATTTGTAGATAGCTATTTGTTCCATATTTATTTACCTTAGTGAGGCTGTATTTAGGCTGTCGTCCTTGCTTCCTTCTGTTGTTTAATTAACGAAGCAGACGAGAGGCGAGACTTGTCTCAAGCGCTCCTTTCGAAGTCAATATCGATAAAGCTCTTAATGCTGAAACTTCAAATTGCGGTCTCAGAGACACACTTCCGTTCACTCTGCTTTTGACGATTGCTTACCTTGGCATTGTTGGCCTACTGCCCAGTCCTAGGCTTGATTCCCCTCTTTCGAGTGGTGTTGTACACAAGTTACCTACCCTGCCATGACACCTCAGGCCGCTGCTGACTGGATCGCTTATTGGACCATATGAGTGCCTGAAATTGAGGGCTCTTCTCATGCTGGGGCAAACCAACTATGTTGACATCTACCTAGTCTGCATATCTGATCTTCAAGATGATGTCAGTTTGGCTTTGACTTTTTGCCATACTCAAACCTTTGGTAGTATCAAACGACCAGAGAACACTCGCTGGCGTATCTATCTACTAGTGACAATCTCTCCGAAACTTACCCCGGACGGTGAACCAAAGGATCAAAAGACCAATGGCATCATCCTCGCTTACAGTGGCCATACCGAAATCATCAGAAAGGGGATCGCCGATCAGCTTCGATATACTATCAACTAACTGATGTGATCTTTCCTACTTCGACAGTCAACCCAAGACGCCAGGAATGATTATTGCCTGATGTTCCGCTATCCAAGACAAAGTAATGCTTTGTGGCTTGGCTAGCATTCAATAATTTAGCTCTATGTCTGAGAACCCTCAGAGTCCGTGCAAGGCCACGAGATAGCCACGTTTTTCTTGCTTGGCAGCTGCTTTCTTGGGACTAGTATTACGGGCTACGGAGTATACACTCTTGGACTGGATGAGCGTCAGACCTCTTCGAGCCGGCTTCATGCCATGCCAAATGCCGATGGATAACCCCGGAAACAACGGGGGTCTGGGGATAGTACAATAATTGGGACCTGCTCCATCAGCCTCCATAACCATTCCGTTTATTCCAGGTCGATGATTTTCTCGGTTCAGACTCGGTTGCCCTTCGGTTCGGCGGAGCGGAAGTCACCGGGACTGGGAGGAATCACCAGGAACCAACCACAAGGCACAGTCCCTTTGAGTTTTGAGAGTTTCATGGATTCAAACGCTGTCTGGGATCCACTCAAAACCCTTGCTTCTGGTCTCTGGCTACGCCTGAACTCTGGACTCTTGACTTGGGAGCTGGCGGCCTGATGCTAGCAGCGTCAACGTGAGCAGCTCACAGCTTGGCTCCAGGTGGGGAATACGAACCAGTCAAACAAAACTGGGGTAGCTGCATTTATGAGAAATGTGTCCATTTTTGAATCATCAGAGTACTATCTCCACTGGACGAATGACGAACAAACCATTCTCTTGCTGATAATGGAAAGAAAGGCGGGTTGTAAGCGGGGTCGACGATGCAATTGTCTGGAGAACCACCTGGAGAAATGGAAGCTGGCGGAACATTAGACTGGGAGCATGACCTAGTCCTTGCTGCTCGGCAACTTCGTGTATGTCAGCATCTATCGCGGCCTGTATGTCTTGTTGGGGTACATGCCGGTCAAATGACCTCTGTAGCGCTGTAGATCCGATTCTCGCTTTCCCGTCGTTCAGAGCGATGATGTATCTAGACAGTCGATCAATGATTCATCCAGAGCTGATGATCGACGTTGTAAGAAAATAGGATGACCAAGATACCTCTCTAAAATCGCCCTTTTGGTGAACCTTACCAAAGAAAAGAAGCGGTCAGTCGCTCAATCAACGATCCGGATGGGGTGTGGTAGGAACTATCGAAATCATGTTGGGTTTATCTGGAGAATCTTACCCGACTTCGATAGTTAGACAATAGCGCGTTTTGCAGGGTGACATTTGTTTTATGGAATTGTCGCTTCGTCTCAACAGGCCTTGGGACAGTCACCGCTCACATCGTATTCGATTAGCTGAGCGTACTATAAGGAGAAGGGCAGTTGCCTGGGTGAGAAGCCTCTGTGAAGTGATCCGACATTCTCTCACGATGAATTGAGAAATGATCGTTTTCTCGTACTCAGTTGGTCAAGAGAGCATGTTCAATGGCATATCTTGTCATCTTAGACTCGATTGCTGATACCAACTAATCGCGCACATCTTTGTGATACTAATGGCCAGATACTCTGAGAGTGTCTCCCTGCACAGCAGGGGAGGTTGCACCATAGAGCTCTCTGAATATATTTCTCATAGGAAAGAGTTCGGTCCGTCTCCAGAGCATTGTCTGCTATGTGACAGCTCAATGCCAAGCGACTCGTTCCATAATCCTCCATCGAGACTCTACTTGCAAGTGCTCACAAAATGAGGGACAGAAAGTTTCTGATGAACACCCTGACAATGCATGTCTTATCGCCATCCTCATAGCTACGGCAACCTCTCTCCGCGTGCGGGGATTGATAATGTCTTTATCAGTGATATCTCTTGTGTGATGGAGGCACTTACCACCTGCTTCTTTCGGACAGATCGCCAGAGTTGGAGTTTCTATCCAGCACACGTTTCTCCCAGGTTATCATGGTCTCTGTCTCTTACGCGACATAAACTCATTCCTTGAAGAAGTTCAATTGGATGAAGTCCTTGTCAGCTGAAGAATGTTGGTATCGACATGTCTATCAGTGCGACTGCTTCTCACTTATCGATCTCCAATCATCCATTTACGGAAGGTCATTGATATGCCAGCCATGCTGTCTGCGATCTCGCTGATAACATGGGCATCGCAAATGTAGCGAGAGTCACTTGTATAAGAAGAGTAGCAAGGATATCATATCGAGGCCATTCTTTCAGAACTTTGTGTACAACAATAGTGATTTGCGCACAGTACCTGAAACGGGTGACTCGATCATGGATATCGAAGCAAAGAAGTTCAGTCCTGCAGCTTCAGCTGAGGCAGATGCAGCCTTAGGCTTCCTTGCCTCAGAAGAAGCGGCGTTTTTTACCGAGATCGATGAAAAGAAGCTCGTTCGTAAGATCGACTGGATGATCGTCCCACTTATGTGGGCAATTTATTTTCTCCAATATCAGGACAAGATTTTGAGTAAGTAAGACCTTGACGGATTTGCTTCCTGCACCGTCTTACGCTGCCTTAAGTCAACTATGCCTCCGTCATGGGCTTGCTCAGGGATACCGGCATGCAGACGGACCAGTTCTCCAAACTGGCCTTAGCTTTTTACGTCTCTTACCTGTTCTTCGAGTTTCCAACGGGATATCTCATGCAACGGTTGCCTATCGCAAAATACCTTGGCCTCAACGGTAGGGCTCTCGTCGTTAAACATGTTGTGCATTGCTTACAGGCTGTAGTGACGCTATGGGGACTCCTGACTACCCTGAACTGTGCTGCGCAGAATTATGCTGGACTCATTGTCCTCCGTGTCCTGCTAGGATGTTTTGAAAGCGCAGTTGCTCCGGCGTATGTTGCCAACCCCTGCAATCTCAATGCCCGAGTCCATTCTGACAGGTACCAGACTGATCTTGATTACTTCAATGTGGTACAAGAGGAATGGTAAGGTGTATCTCTCATGGCCGAGAATGTTGCTAACCTTCACAGAACAGCCCAAGCGGATAGGTTTCTGGTATTTAGGTACTGGAACTGCCACCATCGTCGGAGCTCTTGTTGCATATGGACTGCTCTTCTATACAGGTGACCGCTTCCGATCCTGGCAGATCATGTTCCTCATCTTTGGACTGATCACCATCGCCGTGGGAATATGCGTCATGATATTCCTCCCAGACAATCCGATGGCGTCCCGGCTGACCCATGAGGAGAAACTTCTGGCGATTGAGCGTCTCCGGGAGAACCGGACAGGTATTGAGAACAAGCATTTCAAAACGTACCAATTCGTAGAAGTATTCAAGGACCCCCAGACCTACTTCATTGCCGTGATCGTGACGGCAATGAATATCTCCAACGCCGCCATCAGCAGCTTCTCCGCTCTGATCATCAAAAGCTTCGGCTACACCACCAAGGAAACCGAGCTACTCACCATCCCCGGCGGCGTGGTCAGCGTGGTCAGCATTCTCACAGGCACATATCTGGCCGGTCGCTTTGATCAGCGATGCCTGAGCCTCATAGGAATCCTCGCCTGTGGGCTGCTTGGAGGCTGCTTGATGGCCTTCTCCCACGAAGGAATGAAAGCCTCCGAGTTAGCTGGCAACTACTTGACTAACTGTGTCGGGGCCGCTCTGCCGTTGATGTACTCCATCGCTGGCGCTAATGTCGCAGGTCACACCAAGAAAGTCACTATGAACGCCATCGTCCTGATGTCGTTCTGTCTCGGAAATATTCTAGGTCCGTTGACGTTCCGCACGGAAGACGAGCCAGACTATATACCGGCAAAGATTGCGATCGTGGCGACAGTCTCGGTAGCAATTGTCTTCTCCGTCCTGTTGAAGTGCTACTATATGTACGAGAATCGGCGTCGCGACATGAAGGGCGAGGGACAGCGTCTGGAGAACTCTGACTTTTTAGATCTGACGGACAGGGAGAATCCGGATTTCAGGGTACGTCTGCCTTGTCTGCAGCACAGCTTGGTTCTGACAGCTGCGACTACAGTACAAACATTGAGGACTCAACGATCTATCATTGAAGGTCAATTCTATAGTCTATATACACGATATACGATATGCAATGCAGTGGTATCTTTCTAGTACACCAATAAGCAGAGGAAAAAGGGAAACCGACATCAAATTCAAGCCGCAACCTGCGTGGCCTTGAACTCCTCGCTGGGCTCGTAGTCAACGTAACCCTTAGGATCCTTGGGCAAATAGAAGAACTCTCTCTCGTACGGCCGGAGAGGGATACCGGCCTTGATCTTAAAAGGCAAGTCAGGGTTCGACGTCCACGGACGACCAATACCAACCACCACGTCGTAATCCTTGTAGCGCGAGTCAACCGCCTCCAGGGCGGAATCAGCCTTGTAGCCACCGGCAATAATCACAGGACTAGCATGACCATACGCCTCGAGGAAGAAATCCAGCTGATCCGTCGACTCGGTGTCCGCGTTGCCCGAAATCCGCGACTCGACAACATGCACATACGCCAGCTTCATCTCCGCCGTCTTCCGCGCCAGGTAACTGAACTGCGGGACGGGATCCGCCATCCGCATCCCCTGGAAGCTACTCCAGGGGCTGAACCGAATCGCCGTGCGGTCCGCACCAACAGCCTCCACAACCGCGCGAGTCACCTCGAGTGCGAAGCGCGCCCGCTTCTCGACACTCCCGCCCCACGCATCTGTCCGCTTGTTCGCCGTATCCTGGGTGAACTGGTCAATGAGGTACCCGTTCGCACCGTGGATCTCAACGCCATCAAAGCCCGCGGCGATGGCGTTGCGCGCAGCCTGCGCATAGTCGCCAATCAGGGCATAAATCTCCTCCTCGGTGAGCGCGCGCGGCGCAGGCGCCTTCTCGTCCGTGGGGACATCGCTGCTAGACACGAGGTCGAACCCGCCTTCTCGCTTGAGGACTTCGGGGTTGGCGACCCGGCCGAGACCCCACAGCTGCATGTAGATGTAGGAGCCCTTGGCGTGCACGGCGTCGGTCACCTGGCGCCACTGTGCGATCTGCGCCTCGGTCCAGATCCCTGGCACGTTGGCGTAGCCGCCTGCGCGCGGCGAGACGAGCGTGGCTTCGGTGATGAGGAGGGTGCCGGGGACGACGGCGCGTTGCTCGTAGTGCTCCTTGACTATGGGGAGGGGGACGTGGTCGTCGTCCACGCGGAATCGGGTCATGGGGGCCATGGCCAGGCGGTGGCCGAGCTGCATGCGCCCGACCTGGATGGGGGAGAAGAGTTTCGACATGGTGGGTTTATTGCAATCGAGTCTATGTATCACTCGAGACGTTGATGATAGCGCGACTATACTCTGTAGGGTATTAATTGGGACGAGGCAATACGGGGAGGGAGGCCGTCAGCTTTTATCCTACAATCTCTGGAGAGCATTGTGTCTTAAAAACAACACTATAGAGGCTGTAAACCCCACTGATTGATTTCAAATCACATCCGATTCCCGAGGATTGGAAATCCAGTGGGGCAACCGAAACTCAGCGGAGGCAGCTCCATAACGAGAAAAGGAGGCAGTAGACTAACGTAGATACAGATAACTAAGGGAACAGTAAGGTACTTCCAGCATATTCGCGAACCATGCGGCAGATTGCTGCTATCGATTGGCCGCTGCAAATTTTCGCTGACAAATGCCTCGGAACAAATTTGCATCGTTTGAGTTGATCTGGTCCGATTGATACCTGAGGCGAAAAGCTAATGGATGCTTGTTGCAGCGGGTGGATCAGTTCTTGCCTCAGGCGGTCAGGAGTCTATCCGACGCGGAGAGTTACAGAGTGATCTACAAGGTTAGAACAGGGTATGCTGTGCGTCAATGACGCCGCTACATTCAGTCTGGGCTAAACAGAACAGGGAAAGAGTGTACTCTGATGTATATTAGGTCAAGTACATGCGGTATGCAATCATATGGTCTGTTCGCCTAGTTACCACACCGAGGAGTATCCTGATATACACAAAATCCAGCAAGTCGTCAAAAGGGTATTGAGCGTCATAGTAACCAGCAAAGAAGAATAAACACATTGTCAGCTCTCCAGTTTGCGAGCTGTAGCTTCTAACTGTGCATTGAAGCTTTTGATCTGGTCCAAGAGACCACCTTGAGCTCCGGGAGCAGTAGAGCTCACTGCTTCAGCAACACTACGGAGCATAAACTCCAGGCCAACTGTGGGGGAAGCATCAGCCGATTCTGCGTCGTCAGCTTCGGCGGAAGCACGGTTCTGACTTCGTTCGACGGCAAGCTCCAGACTATGCAAGGAATTGTTGATAGAGTTGCGGGCCTGGAAGCATCAGATACCAATCCCACGCATATCAAAGATGTAGTTATAGACTTCGGAAACCCGGCATAGCTTACCATTCTCGCACTCTCCTCTTCCGCATGCTTTCTGCGCACTGCATCCATTCGTAAAGCGACCGCCTCTCTCTCTTTACGGACTTCGTACAGCCGGCCCCGCAAGTCCATCATCTCCCGCTTTGCTTTCTTCAGCTGGACGCCGAGAACAAAGTTACTATCCAGCATCTCGCTCAACTCGAACAGTCGACCCTCAAGTTCTGTTTCGTAAGCCTCGACGGCTTTCTTCTTGCGGCTCCATTCCGCACGCCGTGCGGGATTGGTCTCATTGGCTATTCCGTTCTTAAGAGTAGTGAGGGTCTTTTCCAGTGTCTCTCGGCAAATCTGGCTCAGTACATCGGCTGGGTTGACGCCCCCTCTTTTGGGGAGCTTAGTCTTTCCCCTGGCGGCCAGTTCATCGGCCGATTCTCCATCCTCGACTAGTGAATCAGGACCAGAAGCTCCTGGTGCCAGCGAAGCGACGTTCACCAGGCGGTGGACAGTCACAGGTACAGTTTCACCGCGAGGTTGCCGGGTCCGCTTCATCGTAGGTTTAGGATTCTCCTCTTCAACCTCTTGCTGTGTCTCTTGTAGTTCCTCAGGCTGTGTTTCTGTGTTGCCGTCCCTTCTCGATGCTAACGACGGTCTTCCGCGACGTTTCTTAGGTCGTGAAGAAGCCTCCTGGGCTGTTGGCGATTCTGCTCTGTTTGCAGTCTCTGGTGAGGGCTCGGCCTCAGGTTGCAGCTCAGGCTGAAGCTCATGCTCAGTCTCCGGCTCTTGCTCCCTGCCTGGCTGTGGCTGCTCCTCTTGCCGAATTCTCTCACCAGACTCATCAGATTTGTCTTGCTCAGTCTCCACATGACGGGCCTTGCCAGCGCGTCCAGCACGCTTGCCCTTCTTCTTCTTGTTTTGTTTCCCCGAAACTGATTGCTCAACATCCTGGCCCCTTGCTGCAGTGACGCCGGCGTCCGTCTCAGGTTGTGCCGCATCCTGTCCGCGGGCTAAGTTGCTATTGGTGACAACGTTCTCGGTAGGAGCATTCGGTGTGCCTCGGGCACTCCTTGTACTCCTGCCTCGAAGTCTCTTGCTCGGATCATCTGGAACCGCCGTTTTCTCCAGCACGTCACCTCCATTTCGCCCTGAGGGTTCTCTAACAGCAGATTGCGTTCGGCTAGATGCCGGTGGCCTGCCCCTTGCGCGCTTCTGGGGCTGAGGCTGTAACTCCATTTCACTAGCCATGTGCTGCTCATTTGGTATCTCTGGGGTTCGCGTAGGCCGCTGTGTGTCTCCATCGGCTTTGGCTTGTTCTGGTACCGCCTGCTCTTCCACCACCTGCTGTGCGACAACTTCTTGCGGCATCACCGAAGCTTCTGGTGGAGAGCGATCGTGAGTTTCTGGCTCTTGTCTGCTGCGCTCGGGGTTGAGGGTATCCAGGGGAGGTGAATTCGAGCCGTTCTGTAGTTGTAGACCACTTCGCATCACCGTAGCCTCTTCCGCTGCCTCATGAACTTCCGGGTTCTCACCCGCCTTTGTCAGGTCATTGATCAGGCTGTTTGATGTTGACAGACCGGCCGGTTCAGGCGCGTCTTCGGATATTTGTCCGGCGGTTGTGGTAGGTGCCGCAGCCTGTGGTCCATCACGAATGCCTTCTTGTGCGCTCCTCGTCATGCTGTCCGGCTGGGGCTGTGCTAATCTCGTCTCCTGGGCTGTAACGTCTAAATTCACCGATGTCTGGGTAACCTTGCTAGGAGATTCTTGAATATCGCATTGTTAGATACTGTGCTCAAGATCATTAGGAGCCCCTCAAGAACGTACCAATTTTTCTCCTTTTGCTGCTGCGCCCAAGCTCTAACTCCTCATCCGAGGGTATATCGAACATCGACGGTCGTTCGGGGAGGCCATTGCGCGCACTTCCTGGTGTCCGCTGGCTAGAACCTAGATTTCCAGTTGAAGGTGTCCGTGCTGGTGATACTCGTGACGAAGTTGTTTCTCCTAGGACTGATGTTGTTTGTGGCGAACCAGCTGGTTCGGTGACAGTAGCAGTCGCAGCGGGTTGCGACGCGGGTTCCGACGTGGTCTCTGCGGGTGCCGGAGCAAGTCCAAATGAGAAGCCGAAATCAATCGCTTTCGGTTTGCGCGTCCTGTCAAATGGATTATGCGGTTAGCATCCTCCTTTCTTCATCAAAAGGCGAGTCGGATAAGGTGATGCGCGTACGCTGCTCCGCGCTGCCGCATTTGCAGCCGCTCCTCTCGGTCTGTCGCAATTGCATTAGTCTATCACTGGATATAACTGAAATTGAGAGCATACTAGAATTCATGATGGAGAAGCGGCGCTGTTCAACGCGGGAAATCGACGCGATATGCTGTAAGTGAAGCTCGAAATCGAGCTTTGTTGTTGTCTGTAGAGCAGCTGGATGGAACTGAGGGAGGGAACTACATTGACCCAAAACGGTTTGGCGGGGAACTGAGGGAGGCCCAAACTATCGGCTTCGTTTCCACATCTCCGCAGTCCTGCTGGATATCTTTCGCCAGACCTCAGCTATTTTCAGTTGTCCTTTTCTCTACTGTATAAAATTCGCAACCACTGACGATATCAAGTAAAATGGGTTGGTTCTGGGGCAGTTCGAACGGAGATGATCCGGTCAAGAAGCTTGACCCGGGCCTCAGAGAGTACCTTGAAAATGAAGCTCCAGCAAAATACGTGCCTACAACATCCATTCCTTCAACGCAAGAACCTTCAAAAACATCAGATCCTCAAACCCAAGCACCAAAAACAAGCGCATCTGCCGAAACTGGCGAGCCCTCGAAACCCTCCGTTCCCTCCGCGTCACTTTTCCCCGATGGCCGGTATGCTCATCTGTGGAAAACCTACAAGCCTCCTCAGGAAGAGGACGGATCAGTAACCAAGGGCGCGGAAAGGGTGATTGAGAAGTACAAGAAGCATAATGACACCGTGCACCGGGCAGCCATGGAAAATTGCGCATTGGAGCATGAAGCCTTGACGTTATGTTTCCAGACCGGTAATTGGCAGAAGCGACTGCAGGCTCGTGTGACTTCCTGCTCCGAGGAAAACGCAACTTTCTCTCGTTGTTTCACCACTCAATCTGTAAGTGTCGGAGTTACTATCTCCAGAACCTTTTTTGTGGGCAATGTATGCTGATACTGGGTCAGAAATTCCTCCAGGCATTAGGCTACGCCGCCTCATTCGATTGGGACGAGGAGAAGGAAGAACGAATTCAGATGCATGCGGATAAGCTATACCACCAGATGTTGGATTATGAACAGCGAGTCGCAAAGTGTCGGGCGGCTGGTCAGGAACCACCGCCCCTCAGGTCGCTCTTTAACCCGCAGGTGGAAACCCAACAACTCAAATCCAACGATACCCCGGGTAGTCTTGAGGTCCCCGGTGTTGAGCAGATTCCGCCCGGATTCAAACCATCGAAGCCACTGGAGCAACTTACACCCCATGAGAGGGAATTGGAGATTCGGGCACACAACGCGCAGATCGAACAACAGAAGATGTATGTGCAAGAGGCCAGTCCATTCATGAAGACACACGAGGACGCACGTTTGAAACGCCGCGAGAAGGCTGTCAGTTGGTTTGGAGAGACCATTGGTAAATGGGTTACATGATCATCAAAACTCTGACAGGTTTCCTCCCTTTCCTTGTATTATTACTCTTGCATCGTTGAAACTGTCTCAGTGGAAAGATGTAGCATTATGGTTTCGGAAGCGAGTGTTTGGCGTTCACCATGGGATGTGAAACGAATGAATTAGTTTTGTTACTTCTCTAGCACACAAGCTCTGTTTATTATTGATATTTACCTGATGAAGAGGGTGACATACTTTCGAATATTTAAAGCACTTCATGTCATCATTTACCGTACCGTAGCCCCATACGTATATATATGCATCGATAGTGGCTGATTATCGCGTATCATGACTACAGTAATCATGGCATCGGAAGTATTAAGTTGAAGGTCCTAACAGCCAATATTAGCAGAGTCTCGCTTGCATATGCATCCATAAAGAAAGCCCGATTTGGTTAAAATGGAAGATGTGCTGCGATTCGCCGAGCGCGTCGGAGTGAGACACGAGGAAGCGACACGGGCAACCGACGAACAAACCATCATCAACCAACGACATCACCACTCGACGACAGCTGCCATTGTGTTCAACCTCCTTTGCATTATTGGATGAATCCGGATCCGCTATTCTCTTTCATTCTCCCGTCGTCCTCATAAGCAAATACTTGGCTATCGAAATTGTCTTAGAACACTCCTCGATAAAGGGAACGTCTGATTATTGTTCCACGTTCTCCGCAGTAGCTGCTACTGTAACTTTACTAACTACACGCACCCTTACAGATTTCCAGCTTTGAAAGATACCCATCTTGACACGATTTCGACCGTCTGAACTACCCTATTACGAACCATATCCTTCCTGAACACATTTGACAAAGACGTTCTGGGGCATTGAGCTTTTGTGCTCACCATGAAGGCTACGCCGTTGCTCATCGCGTGGCACAACGACAATGCCCCAATCTACTCGGTCCATTTCGACCCCAACGGTAAAGGGCGCCTTGCTACGGCTGGAAAGTACGTCTAGGTGAACCCCTCAATATATACGTCAAGGCGTTGCTAATGTTTCCCGTCTAACCTAGTGATAACAATGTCCGAGTATGCTTCCAACCACCTTCATCTCCTCCTCCCTCCCTCTCTCGCTCCCTTCGTCGTCTCTGACCTCGAATCACTAGCTATGGAAAGTCGAGTCTGCAGGTGAAGATCGAAAAGTGACCTATCTAAGCACACTTGTGAAACACACACAAGCTGTCAATGTGGTCCGCTTCAGTCCGAAAGGTACATACGCCGAGTTGTCTATAACGAGATAACAGTCTTCTGATGTATTGCTCTAGGCGAGATGCTGGCGTCTGCAGGAGACGACGGCAACGTTCTTCTCTGGGTCCCGTCAGAGCTACAGACCCAGCCTGGGTTAGGGGAGGATCGTTCGGACGACAAGGAAACGTGGCGTGTGAAGCATATGTGCCGGTCCTCCGGTGCTGAGATCTATGACCTTGCGTGGTCTCCAGACGGGGTCTTCATCATCACAGGGAGCATGGACAATATTGCTCGAATATACAACGCGCAGACTGGTTCGTTAAATTCTTGTCGCCTCTCCTAGGATTCGTATCCCCATCATGAGGCTAAAACCGAATACTTCCAGGGCAAATGGTTCGGCAGATTGCGGAGCATTCGCACTACGTTCAAGGAGTGGCCTGGGATCCTCTGAACGAATTCGTTGCTACCCAGTCATCGGATCGATCTGTCCACATCTACAGCTTGAAGACAAAGGATGGCCAATTTACGTTAACGTCTCACGGGAAGTTCCTGAAAATGGATCTTCCAGCCAAACGTATCTCGTCCAGCAGTCCTGCTCCGCCTGATCTTTCTATTCGATCCCAGCCCGCATCAGGCAGTTCCATTGCCATTGCTTCTCCCGCTACCTCGACTCCGGGTACGCCATTGACCTCTCATTTGCCTATGGATCCTCCTCCGGTATCTCATAGTCGCCGTTCTTCATTTGGCTCCCCCTCGATTCGCCGCTCTGCGTCTCCGGCACCTTCCCTGCCGTTACCGGCTGTTAAGCCTTTGGAAGTAGCCTCGCCAAACGTCTTGGGTGGTCTCACAGTCAAGAATGCCAACATCTATGCCAATGAGACTTTCACATCATTTTTCAGGCGGCTGACTTTCACCCCTGATGGAAGTCTGCTGTTCACTCCAGCTGGCCAGTACAAGACCACGCACGTTCCTGCCACAGACCCCACAAAAACCACGGATGAGATCATTAACACAGTGTACATCTACACCCGTGCAGGCTTCAACAAGCCCCCTGTCTCTCATCTGCCGGGACATAAGAAGCCCTCCGTTGCAGTCAAGTGTTCTCCAATTTTGTATACCTTGCGCAAGGCTCCTCAGCCTGCCCGACATATTACGCTGGATACCTCCTCGGGGGAGGAATCCTTTGCATCTCTTCCTGAACCAGTAGTTTCCACGAAGCTGACGCCTGACAAGCCTTCCATGGAGCCTCCGTCGACTCCTTCTGCAAGCGAGTCGTCTAAGACCAACACAGCGTCCCAAAACGCCGAGAGTGAAGGAGCTTCTGCTGGCCAGAGTCCGAGTCCGGTTTTCTCGTTACCATACAGGATTGTGTACGCGGTGGCTACGCAGGACGCGGTTCTGGTGTACGACACGCAGCAACAGACTCCCCTGTGTGTTGTGAGCAACTTGCATTTTGCGACATTTACAGATCTCACCTGGTGAGTTCTAATGTCTTTTGATCTCTAATGCGTTCGGTACACTGACAAAATCAGGTCGAATGATGGCTTAACTTTAATAATGAGCTCTTCTGACGGCTTCTGCTCAACGTTGTCATTTGCTCCCGGAGAGCTGGGCCAGCTGTATACACCTCCAGTGGGAATTGCTCAGCATCCTGCGAACGCTAGCACCACGTCCGCGAATCAAGCCCCGCTACCATCCCCGGCCAATATTCCCTCGCCGCTCAAGTTGAGTCAACCTTCTCTGAGCTCGGCACCGGCCCAGTCAGCCGAAGTACCTCCAGCGAGTCCCGCACGATCCAACTCCGCCTGCTCAATGACCACACAATCTCCCGTTCAACAGGTAACGGCTCAGCAATCGGGGGATTCTGTAGTCAACAATCCAACACCCACTCTAGGATCAGTGCCGCTCGTCACTGCCGCCAACTCGGCTCAACCCCTATTCTGCCGCTTACTACACCACCCCAGACACCGATGTCTGCAGTCACGCAAAGTGGAGCGAACTCTGTGAGCAACAGTGTTTTGGGCAAAAGAGACATCAGCGAGTCAGAGAAGGAGGAGTCAAAGGACCAGAGTTCGGTCCCGCAAGTACAACAGCCGAAGAAGAGACGCGTGGCCCCGACTCTTATTTCGGCCGGCACGAACTCCAATCCTCCCTCCTCTTCATCTCCGAACGATGAAATCTCATAATGCCGGCTTTGGTGGCTGAGCCTTCCTTGAACAATTACTTATAGTCTAGTTAAGCATTGACGAACTTGACTTTTCGGTTGGTTGTCAACACAACCCCAAATGTCAGTGTTCAAAGCACAACCCTAATGATTTATGCTACATCTACCAATTCTCCTTGCTTCCATTCGTCTACCTACGGCCCTTTGTTTTTCTTATATTCTGGCTTGGGGAGTCTGCCCGCCGCATGCCTGGGTGTAGGTGTTGGGTCGGGCACTGTCGTATCTTTTTGTATGGCGCGATGTAATTTCACCTTCATTCGGATTTGCTCTTCCCTCGAGTCTTCTCGGGTTATCTTGTCTGACATGACATCAGATGTCTAGGTATATTTACGTTGCAGGGAGAGGGCGAGATGTCCGTTCTGTTTAAGGTTTTTGTCATTCGAAGCAGCAACTTAGCGTGAGGAGTGATGGTCGAAGATTCTATTCATTTGTACCTCATGCTTGTTGCTCTTTAAGGTAACCAATGTACGTAAGTGTGGTCTTATCCGTCTCTGGTTATAGTGCAGTCAACCGGCTTTTTCTTTACGGAAGAGATACTGGCATAGGAGCAAGGAAGAAAATAAGGATGTATATTGGTCTGTCTAAGCGTCTAGACGCATTACCCATTAAGATCCACGTGTATCCCTCTTTCGGAAGAATGGAAGTAAGGCTAAGGTACAAAGGAAACAGGAGCAGAAAATCATGTCGTCATGCCGTAGGTATCGTAGCAGAAGTTCAACAAGGTTAACTTAGGGACATTGCGTCTTGAGTGTCACCGCCGTCATGAGGAAGGGGAGGAGTTGTCACCATTGACAGTAGGCTCATGGCCATTCGAACCATTCACGCCATTCACACTCGACGAAGTCAGGGTGTTGACAACGTCCGCGATGCTCATGCCGGTGGGAAGAACTGCCGTAGCCTCTGTGGCGTGAGAGCCCACGGTGACCGTGGTCACCTCCGGAATCTTGTTTTCGCCCTGCAGACGGTTGGCCCAGCGGAAGAGCGCCTCGTCTCCACGGGAACCGCCGGCCACGAAGAGGAAGTCCGGGGTCTCAGGCAACTGCTCCAGGATAGACTCTGCGGCCCTGGCTTTTGTGATGTCCAAGGGTTCGACGCTGACTGATCCATCCGTGAGGACGACGCGGATGGCTTCGCTGCCGCGGGACCCGTTGATCATGTCGGCAAGGTCGGAGGCCTGCCGGGCGGCGACCTCGGGATCTTGAGCATTGTCGTACCAGAAAGTTAACAGGCAGCGACGTTCTTCCAAGACGCTACCGTCTGTTCTTTCCTGGTAGTATTGCATAACCCGACGGATGCCGTTCCTCCAGTCCTTCGCCCTCTCCATATCCACCAGCGGCTTCCACTGAGTTGTTCCAATTTCCCGCTTGAAACAACCGTTCTCGGCAATGTATCCGATTTTATCGGTCAAGCTTGCAGATTGAGATTCGATCTGCTCCGGGCTTTTGTTGCTTGTGACGTAGACCAGGTTCTTTGGATCGCGGAGAAGTTCTTCCAGCAGCGATGGTGTGCTGCCAGAAGCTATGGCCCCTTCGTCTTCGAGGAAGAAGAGTCGCTTGGCTGCCTTCTCGTATGACTCCTTCAGTGCGGGTACAGAGAGTGTTGCGACAAGACTGAGTTCGCGGGACAATTGCGCGCTGTGAGCTTCGGCAAGGGCTGTTTTGAACGAGTTGCACCACGCTACGGCTGTGTGAGGTGCCTTCCTCTCAAGCAAAAACTCCCAGTTGCGTTGCTTCTGTTCGGGCGACATTTCCAGTGCCTTGTTAATCGCATGTGCAACCTCTCTGTAGTCCCACGGGTTGACGAGAAACTCGTGTCCATGAAAGATCGAAGCACTGCCGGTGAATTCGCTCAGGATCAGGGATCCATGGTATTGCGGCGTCACTTTGCCATCCTGGCAGTGGATGTAGTCCTGACTTGTCAAGTTCATACCCTCTCGCAGACTTGTTACCATAAAAATCTCTGCCACGCTCATTAAGGCCAGGAATTGGGAGTAACTGATGTCTTGACTCAAGAGCACGAGCGGCTGGTGAGTAAGCGTCGAATACTTGGAATTTATCCTCGTCGCTATCTTTGAGATTTGAGACTCTAGTTCAGGCATCTCAGATGCCGATGCTATCTGGATGAGAACGACCTGTGTTTATCAGCACGTCTGTTAGTAGTCAAATAGGATACGGGAACTTACGTTTTCCCTCCACTTGGGATACTTCTTCAGGAACAGTTCGTATGCCAACAGCTTTTGTTTGATCCCGCCCGGTGCATCCAGTCGATCCCTTGCGACAATCAGGTGCTTACCGCTGTACCTGGAAGAAATATTCGCGATCCAGTCCTTTACCTCGTTGGTCTGGCGTAGGTGGTCCAGGGCATTGGCGTCAATTCCAATAGGAATACTCTTGACGCGGACAAATCGATCTTTCAGTTGGACACCGCCAACGGTCACTTCTAAACTGAGAAGACGGCTACAGGTCTGCAGAAAGTGGTGACAGTACTCCTCTGTCTGGAAGCCGACAAAGTCAGAGCCGAGAAGACCATTCAGTAGTGCATCGCGAGGATTCAAGCAGCGGAACACCTCGGAAGATGGGAAAGCAGCATGCATGAAGAACCCAATCTCTGCCTGGGGTAACCGCTGTCGGAGCATCTGTGGAAGAAGTAAGAGATGGTAGTCATGAATCCAGATGCTATCACCAGGACGCCATCGAGCAGCGATGGTATTGGCAAACGCTTCGTTGACCTTGACATATTGTCTCCAGGAATAGTCGTCGTATTCAGTGTGTCTGGGGCTCTCTTGCATCTGATAGTGGAAGGCTGGCCACAGCACTGAACGGCAAAAATGGGTATAATGGCCGTCGAACTCGCTATCGCGTACGAATACCGTCAGCGACTCGTACTCATCTTCGAGCGTATCGGAAATGCTGGCGCGCGTCGCATCCTTCAACAAGTCGGTAGGCATGCCTAGTGTGCCCACCCACATCTTGTCTGTCAAAATACCAGCTTCTTCGGCTGCATAGACTGCATTGCGCAGCCCACCATTGCCTTGTTCTGCTGCTTTGACAACCCAGTCATCAACAGACAGCAATGCACGGGGACTTCCATGATCCTCCTCAGAATCTGGGGTCTCTAAAGCTCCGTCGCAGAACTGGTTGTTCAGGTCATCCCCGGCATCTGACGCTCTTAAGATTGACGGTTGGGGATGGACCTGAGCCGTGGATCGCGGCTGATTGAATTTGCGACTCTGACCCCAAGAAATGGTTCTGGGTTCGCTAAGACCAGGACCGTTGGGATCGTCTGCCTGGGGTATCTCGCCCGCAGACCGAGAGATGTACGGTTTGAAGATTTTTTCGTCATCTGTAGTCGCGCCGGGAGTCAATGAGAGACTGAGCGACTTGTTGTGGCGTCTCTGGCGGGCCTCTGCCAGCCGACCAATAACATGGTCGTCTATAGGAGTTTGGCTGAGGGATGACTTGCGACGAGCATGTCTCAGCTCGGTGGCTTGAAAGTCAATGGTATATGGAAGGAAGCTAATGTGGTATGTCAGATTATCACGGCCGCTAACCATCTGAAGCTAAGGCCATGCAACAATGAGGGGCACAACTTACAGTGAGGCGATGTAGACCGTCATTGATTCTGATGGAAGGAAGAGAAGCCTGGAGACCTCTCCGACACCTCAAAGAAATGTTTTATCTGCAGCGTATTCAAAGAGTATTCTGGAGTCAACCACTATTAGGGAGGTAGTTGTTTCAAAACTTGAGGAAGTCAGGCCAAAGAGGTAAGCGGGTAATGTATGGAGAGGGGGGCTGCGGACCAAGGGATGAATCGTTGTGATGGATGGCTGATGGCTGGCACTGATCGTTTAACTAGGTTGGTGATAATGATGGAAGAGAAGAGTGGTGTCTATATGTTTCTGCGGGTCCCTCAAACAGATGCATCCTGAAATTCCCGGTGACATTTAGACATCCTCGCAGCATCTTGAATAAACAAAGGGATCATGACGTTGATGATTGGACCATGGAACCTGCGTGTTTAGACAGAGGCATATGATGGGTCAGGACAGAACATTCTGGGCTTTTCTTGGGTAGGAGAGAAGGACGAGAGAGGGGTGAAATCTTCCAGGTGAGAAAGAGAGTCAAACCGAGTTTACTGGTAAGGTAGAAAAGAACTCAAAAGCGCCTGATAGAAGCCGGAGATGAGGAAGGAGGGGTGGCATTTTGGAGGCTTCTGTGCCTTGGGCATCATAATTAATATCACCATGAGTCTCGTCCTCATCCAACTGGACGACAATCGATATGAGCGGTTTTCCCCTTGAGCTGCCAGTGGAGGATAATGGCTATGGCCTTAATTGAGTTCATTTCTACCTTCCTTCATCTACTATCTAGTCTCTTTCTAGATATTACTCCATGCCTGATCGAGGGACCTACATAGACTGAAACCTATCGGGGTGTGATTGTGCATGACCTGCATACTTTCCTGTCAGATGTGATATGCCGTAGATTCAACGGCCAAAGGTAGGGTAACTCTCTGACCAACCGGTTCGAGCAGGGAATGGCCCAATGACAGCGATTTGCTGGCCTGAATGCCGGGCAGATCCGTACTTAGACAATCTAGAGCGCCTACATGGGTGGGGGACTAATAATGTATGGAAGAAGACTCGATATCTCTTTAGCAGTTCCCCCACTATGGTTAGGGATCTTTCGAGACAGTTCGATAACGAGCGTCGGGAGTCTGGAACAGACCCCACTGCATCTAGGTGCGATGTCCCTGTTTCTGCTTGTTGAGAAGCAGATGGAACCATCCTACTATGGTATGATGTAGACTACTTCCCCTCTGCTATTCACGAAATTGAGTATCATCCATGGTTTATCAGGAAGCTCTGATTCCCAAACAGAATTGCATTGCTGGAACTAAGGTGTCTTGAGAGTGCCCCTCCTATACCTCTCTAGTTTGGGCGACGAACACGAAAAACGTCAC